TTAAAATAATGGTCAACAAATTATGCAGTCTGATTTTCTGGGGGGGGAAAATAGAATAAAACATCTATCTTTGCATATTTTTTAATAAAATATTTACATAGAACGAAATAGCGAAGTAATCCTTTTTCTCTCCTGTCGTGCGTGTAGTATTTGAGGGTCCCAGGCAATCCTGATCGTCTCGCCATGTTTCCCATCGAGGAAAGAGCGCCACGGAGCGTCAGATGTGCCCCAAACATGATTTGTATCCTTCACTCTCATCATTTGTTATATTTATTCACCAAACCTTCTCTGTCCCACGTCACCAACTCCCTGGGCCCGGCCACCATTAGTTCTCAGCTGGACCGGCTCATGCTCGTTTCTAGAAGATTCTTGCAACTGTGGTCAGAATGGTTGCCCTGTGCTCACGCTCACCTTTACCATGTTCCTCCGCTGCTGAAAACCATCCCATGAGGTTGATGGCTTCTGGTTTCTACTTAGGTGAATCCATGAGGTTGGTGGCTTCTGGTTTCTACTTAGACAAATCCATGAGGTTGGTGGCTTCTGGTTTCTACTTAGGTGAATCCATGAGGTTGATGGCTTCTGGTTTCTACTTAGGTGAATCCATGAGGTTGGTGGCTTCTGGTTTCTACTTAGGTGAATCCATGAGGTTGGTGGCTTCTGGTTTCCACTTAGACGAATCCATGAGGTTGGTGGCTTCTGGTTTCTACTTAGGTGAATCCATGAGGTTGGTGGCTTCTGGTTTCCACTTAGACGAATCCATGAGGTTGGTGGCTTCTGGTTTCTACTTAGGTGAATCCATGAGGTTGGTGGCTTCTGGTTTCCACTTAGACGAATCCATGAGGTTGGTGGCTTCTGGTTTCTACTTAGGTGAATCCATGAGGTTGGTGGCTTCTGGTTTCCACTTAGACGAATCCATGAGGTTGGTGGCTTCTGGTTTCTACTTAGGTGAATCCATGAGGTTGGTGGCTTCTGGTTTCCACTTAGACGAATCCATGAGGTTGGTGGCTTCTGGTTTCTACTTAGGTGAATCCATGAGGTTGGTGGCTTCTGGTTTCCACTTAGACGAATCCATGAGGTTGGTGGCTTCTGGTTTCTACTTAGGTGAATCCATGAGGTTGGTGGCTTCTGGTTTCCACTTAGACGAATCCATGAGGTTGGTGGCTTCTGGTTTCTACTTAGGTGAATCCATGAGGTTGGTGGCTTCTGGTTTCCACTTAGACGAATCCATGAGGTTGGTGGCTTCTGGTTTCTACTTAGGTGAATCCATGAGGTTGGTGGCTTCTGGTTTCCACTTAGACGAATCCATGAGGTTGGTGGCTTCTGGTTTCTACTTAGGTGAATCCATGAGGTTGATGGCTTCTGGTTTCCACTTAGACGAATCCCCGGCTCTGCAAGTCTAAGGCTCATCCTCACACCTGTCTGGTCCTCTACACTTTCACTATACAAAACTTCTTTCTGTTCCTTGAACTTTCCACTCTCTTTGGAGAGTGAATTTGGGCCGATGCTGTTCCTTTTTTCTACTGCCCTCTTCCCCTGTCTCTCCATGGAGCAAACTTGTGCTTGTTCTTTAATTAGCAGTTTAAACTTTACTTCTCCCATAAGGCCTTTCCGGTCCCTGGAGCGTAGCCACCAGCATCAGTAAACGTCATACTCATTTTTAACAGAGAGCCCACTTCATTGTAACTGCTTGTTTGACTTCTCTCTCCTCCCAGATAAATATTGCGGAATATAAGGACACTGCCCTTTGCAAAAGGCCTGATCCGTGGGGTATACTCAATAAACATTTGCAGACTCTAGGGAACTGACGCCATATACACATGACGTTCTCTCTCTGCATTTAGGAAGTCAGTCTAAGCAGTTTTTCTTCAGATAATATTATTTACTTGAAATGTTAGAAAAATGAAAATTTTATTTAATCAAGTCTCTGCAAAATCCTTGGTTTCTTGGTAGGGATAACATAGGAAACTATGAAATAATTAACAATCTTTGAGTCCCTGTTGCTTAAGATTATAAACAATGAAAAATGGTATTTAAGACAACTAAAAAAAAGCATAAATGTTACTTAAAATTTACAATTGACTAGGCCTCATACAATTTAGAATGTGAGTTTTAGCACTTTCATACTAACTTTTTAATCTCGATCCAGTGACCTTGTTACTTTTTCTGAGTTTTGCTTCCAGTGCTTTTAAATGTCAGGCTATGGGGCTGCACTTCAGTACTCTCCATTTGTCTCCTTAAAATTCTTTCTTACTCAGTTTCAATCTCGTTACAACCCCTTTGACTGGAGTGGCTGCAGATTACAGTTTGAAAACAACTGACCTCTTCGTCTCTGCTAACATTGTTAGAATGAAGCTACAACAGCACCTCTCGGGATTACCAAATTAGAGCCGTTCACATAAGGTGGACACACATGTAAATATACTTATGTGCCAAATATACCCCTCAATGATAAAATGACAGCCACTCAGATACTTTCAACAAGTATCTATAGCTGTGGCAGGACCATTGTTGAGTCATTTCAATAATTTTGTTACAGGGCTGGTAATGAAAGCAAAACCACTTCAGCAGAGAGGAGTGACCTGCCTCCTGACGTCTTCAGAGGTCCTGGGTGACAGTGATGTGTAGATTACTTTTCTATTCAAACAAACAAGAGCATTGCCAGACCTTTTTCCAGCCTAGTTTATTTCCTCAAAGCACTGATGGAGGCTTGACAAGAAAGACAGGAGGCTACCCCTGTAATGTCACCATTGCGGGTAGTTGTAGCAGTTGGTGCTGTTTGACATGTTAAGAAGATAAAAGCATCTTGGAAAAGCTTTCTAGTTACCAAAAAATAAAACACTCTTCTGCAAAGATTGTATCTTCTAAATACAAACAAGCACTGATGAGTAAGGATGCTTGGAAACAGAAAACAATTTTAAATGTATTAAATTGAGCCGGGGCAGAAATCTCACAATTTAGATGTATGCATTGCCATTCAAAGCCCCACATGTAAGTAATGTGTAAGTATTTTATCCCATGGTAATATCTAGAAGGCAGGTATTTCTTTGAAATTAATATTCATTCTTGTACAACTAAGAAGTTTCAAGAATATTAGTAAAATTCTAGCACTTACAAATTATGCTGTGTGGCTCTATTGGGTCTATCTCAGATAATCTTGATATCAGAAAAAGGGGAAAAGCATTTCTTGTCCTTTTGGTCTCTCCCTTTTTTCATACATACTTAATTTTAATTACACAAACATGTCTACATAAGTAAAAACAGGTAAACTAACTCACTTGTCAATTTCTTAACATAGGCATTCAGAAAACCTACTTTTTTGGTTAACTTCTTGGAGCCAACAACAAGCTGTCAAGCACATAATCCTTCAGCCTAAGCAATTTTACATTGATTGAAATAACTTGTGTTGGAAAGAACCATGTAAAATGTGGAGTGGGGCCATTTAATCAACTCAACTATAAACAAGTCATAATGCCACATAGGTCAGTTCGAACTATTTTAAATATTCGGTACGTAGTCCATAAATATAGTGCTTATCCAAAAATTAGGAAACAGGGCCATAGAATTTCAGCCCAGGGTAGATTAAGTTAGAATATCCCTAATGAATGAAATAAAAGAACTTCCAGCTTTCTTCATATATTTATAGAAGACTATAGTCTCCCCTTCGTTGAGGACTTTCTGCACACATTTTCCTATCAGACTTCCTGACCATCCAGGTCCGAAGTGGAGTCTGACTGAGAATTCTGCGGTGATGCAATTAGGGTGGGGGCACCGTGAAATCTTTGCAGAGCTGCCAATTAGCACTTGAAAAAAATCACCTGCTTCTGGTAAAAAAAATAGAAAATACATCTGGAAAAAAAGCTGTTGTTACATTTGGGAATCTCATGTTTTCAGAAAAAATGGGGATGTTTTCAGGCTCTCAGTGTTGGTCATACTAAGTCATATTAATTTTTTAAAAATATATCTTTATTGATTTCAGAGAGAGGAAGGGAGAGGGAAAGAGAGAGAGAGAGAGAAACATCAATGATGGGAGAGTCATTGATCGGCTGCCTCCTGCACGCCCCCGACTGGGGCTCGAGCCCGCAACCGGGCATGTGCCCTGACAGGGAATCGAACCATGATCTGCCTGGATCCTAGGCTGATGCTCAACCACTGAGCCACGCCCGGCCTGGCCAGTCGTATTCATTTAATCAAGTCTCTCATGTACATTTGGCTGGAACTCAGTTGATGTCAAGGTCTGGTTCTGTTTATAGATTATTTTCAAAACTCTTTATGTGGGCTCGCTATGATTTTAACCAATTATATGATATGAAATAGAACTGTAATCACTTACAGTAGTCCCAGACACATCTTCGGGTATGCAAATTAACAATTTCTGTCCCTTTTATTACATTCCCTCTCCTGAATACATACATCTTTCCTTCTCCCAGGAAAGCATTAAAATGTTGAACCCTTCATGCTCCTCAACGTCTGATGGCCACGGTACACCCAAGAATAAAAGCGAGGTCATGTAGTACCTGGATCAATCGGCGACTGAAGTGCAGATCTGAAAGTCAGATGTGAGGACAGAATCATTATTTGGTCTCATTCTGTTCCTCAGAGAGGACGTCGCGGCTTTCATCCGGGAGTCAGCTTTGACGACCTCCCAGAGGCAGGAGTTCCCTGCGGCCTTGTCCATTGGCTGGAAATGTGCTAATGAGGTTGGGGTCACTGGATTGATCTCGCCCGAGTCCCAGTTTGCTTTGTTCTGGCTTCTAATGGCCTCCGCAACCAAAGCCGGCCGTTTAGAGACGTGTGCTGCCGGTCGTGAAGGAAGCAGGAGGGAGATTTCACCTTCATCAGAAAACGGTGTCGGCGCTGAGACAAAACTCCCTCGGAGAACGCGCCCTGCTAGGGCGGGCTGGCGGTGTCGTCTTCCCGAGCGTGCGTAGCTCATAAACTCCCCAAGACCGACAGAGCTGCGCTGAAAGCTTGAGCGATAATCCAGGACAAGCTCCTCCTCTCAAGATCTTCGACTCAGGCCTGCCTTTCACCGTGTTCGGCAGCATTCACTCGCGCCAGACGCAGAAACACTAACCTGTGCTGCGGATTAGCACGCTGGTGTATTGTTTGGGGCCCCCACTGAGCCCGCTACAGCCAGCCTCAAAAAGTTCTGAAAAACACCCAAGCATCCACATTTCCGTTCAGTAAACAGCGGTGAAACCCTGCCAAGCACCATCACACGTGCTGCACGAATTCCCGCACACACCGGGAAGGCAATTCAGAACCCACACGCACGTTAGGACGTACTTCGGAGTCGTTTCGGTTTAAAAAACGGAGATGGTATTAATCCACGTGCACAGTATACGTGCCTGTGGGAACCCCGTGGGATTGTGAGCAGAGCCTCCTCCACGTATTAAATCTCATGGCCCTGACCATTCATGAAACCTGTTCTCGACAACTGACTGTAAATCCAAGCAAGGGCCCTGAGTCATCGGTGTGGGAGGTGATGTTCTGGAAGGTGAGCGAAAGGTTCATTCATTCTGCCTGTAAGAACTATGTTAACAAAAAAACAAAGCATTTTGGTTTTTTTTTCCCCCTCAGAAGAGAGCAGGGAAAACGGGCAAAGCAACAACAGCGTGATGGGATGATTTCTGGGCCATCCAGCTGCCTGATTACTGGCGGGCAGTGTCTCCGAATGTCCCCTGCCTGCCTCTCGTGACTCCACGCTTGGTAAAGCCATAGCCCTGCACTGTAACAAAAACAAACAGATATATGTGTGTGCGTGTGTATATGTACATGTGTATATATCTCTATACCATCACCCCAAAGCACCCCTGAACTCTCTAAAGGGCCTGTGTCGGGAAAGACAGAGCAGAGGCGCGTGAGGCTCCCGTGCGGTGCCCCCAGGGCAGTGTTTTGAAAGCCCGTTCCGGGTGGGCAGTTGAAACGCTTCTGCGTTTTAAACGCACCGGTTTCACCCAGCAGGACGAAAGCTTTGAACACGCCGTGCCCCGCATTCGGTTCGGAAGGACAGTAGGGGCGCCGCTCACCCCGTCTCCAGCGGAACAGGGCAGGGAGCGGGGAAGAGGCGCCGGCCTCACACGGAGGCTGCCCGGCGGGCTCCCCAGCGCCACCGCGAAGCCCTCGGGCGCCCGGCTGCAGCTGCGTCCCTGCGGGGCTTCTCCAAGGGGACCAAGCGGCCGGGAGTGCGGGACGAGCCCGTGTCAGCGAGGCCCTGAGGCCGCAGAGCTTGCGGTTGCTGGACAGCCGCGCCCTCTGACGGTGCCCGGCCGTCTCGGAGCCGCCGGGGCGCGGGTCCCCACGCACAGGCCCGCGTTCGGCCTGGCCACTTCCTCTTGCTAATCCGTCTCCTGTCTGTTTGATTCCCCGACCAGCCAGAAGAGCCTGGGGTGTAGAGGGAAGTTTATTTCTCCCCCACTCTTACTTGAAGTAAGTTTGAACTTTAATTTCAATAACCTCTAAAATTAATAAATATAATACGTAGTAATATACTCGTTCTGGCAATTTTGGGGGTCCGAAAACAGACTGTTGCTGGTGTCACTGGGAACAGAGTGGATTTAGAGAATGCATTTACCTTGAGATCCCAATAAATTTCCTTAAGAAATTTATTTGCATCCTAAAAATAGCTTGAGGATCAGATGACATGGTAGTTGCTATAGAAACTGCACATTTGAGGCAGAATCACAGTGTGTAAAAGTTGTAAGTTATAAACACCTAACAGTAACTGATGCCCTGCAGTTCCTGCCACACACCCTCCTGTTCTGGGAAGGAAAACTCATTTCTTAATCAACTAAGAATGTTTTTTAAACTATGTTTTTATTGATTTGAGAGAGAGGAAGGGAGAGGGAGAGAGGGAAACATCAATGATGAGAGTCATTGATCGGCTGCCTCCCGCACGCTCCCTGCCGGGGATCAAGCCTGAAGCCCTGGCACGTGCCCTGACCGGGAATTGAACCGTGATCTCGTGGATCGTGGATCAGGTCAATGCTCAACCGCTGAGCCACACCAGCCGGGCAACCTAAGAATTTTTAAAAACACTTTTGAAAAAAATTTACTTGTTAACTATAAGCCTTACTAGCATTTAGCACCACTGTGGTGCATAAGTAAAAGGGGACCTTTGAAGTGACAGATAATGAAGATTTTGCCATCTAGAACCATTTACAAGGACCTAGAGTGGAGAACTGCGTATTTCATAATTTTTAAAGTCATTATTTTTTTTCCTATTCCATGTAAAGCACCCACTTCTGTGGCACCTCCTCCTGCCTTATTGCCTGTGTGAGTTAATACCATTTCAAACACATTTACTGCTCTTTTAGCAGAGTTTTTATAGAGAGAAGAAAAATGCATAATTAATCTGACATTTGGGGTAATGGGGTCTTTATGAGTCAAGTTTAAAGTACAATGCAATTAGGTATTATTTGTACTGAAGCCTAGTGACAGGTAGGCATTTGTATCTAGGTAATTTCAGTATTTATATTGCTCAGTCCCATTAAGGCAGACAGATCAAGGGCTATGGGAAGAGCCACAGTGGAGCTGCGGACAGCTTCTCTTTGTGTTATCTGGAACATCTGGTCTCACACCCTTCCCTGCGACATCAGTTACATACAAATAACATGCATCGAGTTAAGAGAAGCAATTCTGACAGGTGTGAGATGATACCTCACTCTGGTTTTCATTTGCATCTCTGATGATTAGCGACGCTGACCATCTTTTCACAAGTCTGCTGACCATCCGTCTGTCCCCTTTGGAGGAGTGTCTCTTCAGGTCCTTTGCCCGTTTTTTTAATTGGATTGTTTGTTTCTTTGGTGTTGAGTTGTATAAGTTCTGTACATATTTTTTATATTAACCCCTTATCAGATGTATTGTGAGTATGTTCTCCCATTCAGTGGGTTGTCTTTTTGTTTTGTTGATCTTTGGCTAAATTATTTATTAATTCAGCCTGCGGTCTAACACATCTTGCGGAGTCTAGTATTTAGTTTACGTTGATGTTATGGTTGGAACCTCCAATCTGCTACCCGGTTATTCCCTGTTCCCCCCGCCAGCCATAAACTTGGTGAAGGCAGGGACCATGTCTGTTTCGATTGCTCCTATCTTCTGCAGCAAGCACGGTGCCTGGGAAATTTCAGACCCTCCCCAAGATCCTGCGGACGGAATAGCGAGGCCGAGCTCCTCTGCCAGCACCGTTGTGGGGCATATGTAAAAACCACAAGCTCCTTGGTATATTTTATCATTTGTCAATAGCAATATTTATTCTTACTTTGTAACACTCATGCTAAGTTATGAATGCAGAGTTGATTGTAAAAGACGGAAACAAAGCAGGATTTTGCAAAAGATCCACTAGAAACACATAGTGAAAAGCGAAGGTTCGTGGACATGCTCAGAGTCAGAACGTGAAACTCTTCAGAAAACGGCATGAAAGTGGCCAGTCAGTGGCGGGTTTTCACTACACCCTGTAATGGCCTCTGCACCTTCTACCCTGAAACAATAAGCCTTACTCTCCGTGGATTTACTTGGGTGGAAACCAATCAGGCAATGGTACAAATGCTACAAACACCTGCACACAGGAAAAATTGAACAGTGCCAGCAGCAAATGGTTCTTTTTGTTTATCTCAAAGAACGTTCCCAGCTAGTTCTCTCTTGGGGACATAGAGAAACACTCTGAAGCTAATACAGTCTTAATATAAATTAAAAATAATGCAGAAAAGACACTTTAGAGCACATGCCATTGTCCTACGTCTGTATTTCTCTTCCCGTTTTGAAGCCTCGTTGCTGAAGAGGAAACATTTTCATATTATTGTTCTGAAGAGGCCAGTTTCCTCGGCACCGCACTTGGTAGTAGATCTTCTTACCTTTTCGTCCCTCGGTGACAACTCAGAAGAGCCAGATGCTAAGCCCTGAAAGAGGTTCCCACAAAGCACCTGGCTTCTTGGCAGGTCTCAGGTAGCTGGGCCCGTAGCTGCTTTTCCATCTGAATTTTTAAAATTTGGTTGTAGATTGGAGGTTCACTTCTTATTATTTGATCAATTTAAAAATTTTCCATTACAGTTGACGTACAATGTTATATTAGGTGCAGGTGTACAACCCAGCGATTAGACATTTATATAACTTACGGAGCGATCACCCTGATAAATATAGTTATTACAGTGTTATTGACTATATTCCCAGCGCTGTTCTTTACATCCCCACGACTATCCTGCAACCACCAATTTGTACTTTTTAATCCCTTCACCTTTTCCACTCACCCTCCACCCCCTCCCATTTGGCAGAGGCACAAATGTTCTCCGTAGGCGGCTGTTTCCGTCCTGCTGCTTCATTTGCTGTTTTTCAGGTCCCGCATATGAGCGCGATGGTGCCCATTTCTCTTTCTCCGCCTGACTTTTTGCACTCAGCGCAGTACCCTCCAGCTCCATCCATGTTGTCGAGGGTGGCGCGATTTCATTCTCTCTCGTGGCCCGGTCGTAGCCCACCCCCCTTTACCCACTCGCCTGTGGACGGACACAGGCTGCTTCCGTATCTCGGCTGCTGTAAATAACGCTGCGGTGACCCTGTGGATGTTTGTGTCTTTCCGGTGGAGCGCTTTGGGTTTCTGTGGATAAATGCCCAGAAGTGAAATCGCTGGGTCCTTCTTTGCCTCTTGTCATATAGTCTTTGTTTCGAAGTCCATTTTGTCTGATGTAAGTAAGAAGCTCCCACAAAGCTTTTTGTTCGTTTGTTTTCACTTCATGAAACATCATTTTCCATCCCTCTACTTTCAGTCTCTGTGTGTCTTTCAAGCGGAAGTGAGTCTCTGTAGACAGCACGTGCGAGGGTCCTGTTTTGTTATCCATTCGGCTACCGTGTGTCTTTTGATTGGAGCATTTAACCTATTTGCGTTTAAAGTAATTGGTTATAGATATGTATCTATCGCCAGTAGACAGAAAACAATGAAAAAGAAACTAAAGCTGGGGTAGTGGGGCATATTAGTGCCATTTAAGAAAGAAGAAAGAGCCTCATATAGTCCTTGAAAAGTCCTGAAGTTATCCCTGCTACTACAGTGCAGGATTGGGTACTCAAAATCATACCATAAGTAAAGATTCATTTATGCTTCATTAACTCTGCTTTAAAAGAAATAAGGTGTTGTTGATAAGGTAAATTGATATAACACTTACAGTATGATATCAATATTAACTTTTAATTGCATGCAGCTGCCTAAAAAGCCCAAGAGACTCTATAGTATAATGTAGACAGTATTCTATATGGTACATTATGGGTTATTTGTAGAATCTTTGTTGCTCTTTCTGAGCTTTCTACTTGCATGATCTAAAATAAGAGAAGATGCCCGGCTGGTGTGGCTCAGTGGATTGAGCTTCATTTCATGCACCCAGAGGTCCCTGGTTCGATTCCCAGTCAGGGCATAGACCCGGGTTTCGGGCTCCATCCCTGGTGGGGGGCGTGCGGGAGGCAGCCGATTGATGTCTGATGTTTCCATCTCTCTTCCTCTCTCTCTAAAATAAATAA